AGAGAGAGAGAGAGAGAGAGAGAGAGAGAGAGAGAGAGAGAGAGAGAGAGAGAGAGAGAGATATATAAAAAGAAAAGAAAAGGGTTGGTGGTTAAAAGGATCAACAGGAATTAGGATAATACAAAATGATGATTAGGTATTACTAACTATCAGGATTACAAATGAATTTCAATACGGTAAGGAATGGGATGATGATTTCGTTTAGAAAACTTCATGCGCCCGACGTGTGTGTTTGTTTCTATCTAATTAAGTATTTTTTTTTGTTTTAGTAGCAATACGCTCAGCCGAGATGACAACTTGTGTTAAATATTGTCATTATATGTTTACAGTAAGAATAAGTATATTAATATAATAGAATGTGATAGAGCGAGTAATAGTAGTAGTAGTAGTAGTAGTAGTAGTAGTAGTAGTAGTAGTAGTAATAGTAGTAGTAATACAATAGCATAATTGCCGCTAAAGATAGAAATAATGAGATACGAATAGTCTTGAAACTTGTCCGAAAATGATACTTGGTCTTTGAGATCAAATTAAACGGATACATTAAAATGATAATGAAAGAAAAAGAAAGATAGAAAAAGAAATAGAAATTGGGGGGTTGGGGCTGGGGCTGGGGGGGTGTGTGGGTGGGTGAAAAAGGTTGGCTTTAAAAGGTTCGTGTTAGGATATTTGTCTGGCCTCTGTTTAATTACAGTTGTCATTATTGTTGTTCTATTCTTTTTTAATTTGAAATGTGTTTTCTTTTGTTTAACTAAATCGGTCCGTTGGACAATGGCGATTTGAGCCAGCTGCTCCAAAAGAATTGTTTGACGGGTCGTACCTTGCCATTGTCGGTATCAACGGAGGATGCAGCGCGAGCCAGGCTGTGGGAACGACGCGCAGGAGCGGGCGGTCGTCTAGGAGGAGTCGTGCCCGGGGACGGGTTTGTCCCGACATTGCTAGACTCCAACGAGTCTCGGGCGCGGGACAGCGAGGAGGATTTGTTTAAGGAGTCTCGGCTGGAATTGTTACGGGGCAGGGACCTGTTCAGGGAATCCCTGCTGGTCTCCTTGCCGTTGTTACTGCTGGTTGGATTCTTCGATAAACTTTTGTTGCTGTTGCTATTGTTACTGCTATTGTTGTTGTTGTTATTGGTGTTATTGTTATTATTGGTGCCCAATGATTCCCTGCTAGCATCTCGAGTCTTCGATAAAGATTTCCCACAATGACTGTCGCGACTAGAATCTCTCGGTAACCTCGTCAAAGACTTGAGAGACTCTCTGCTGTCGTTTCTACCGTGACTCGGCGGTCTCGGTGCCGTCGGTTTACCCGTTGAACCCGGCAAAGGTATACGACTAGGTCGCCGACGTGGCGATGGTTTAACTTCGACTGCTGTTTGGTGATGATCCCGTGCCGACTCCGTACTACTACCTGGTTCTAAACCACTTTGTTGTTCGCATCTTGGCTGCTCGTTTTCAGTTTCGGGTTCGATTTCCGTCGGTGGCCGTTGCTGAAGACGTTCCAAGACACGCACGCGAGCACGCGTACCCTCCAATTCGATGTTTCTTTCTTCTAACTGTAAATTGTGTTAAAAACAATTATTAGAATTTTAGGAGAATTTATCTTTTTTCAATTAAATAATCGAGTGTTATCATTTTATTAAGGATATTTTTATTGTCATCACACCTGGAATCGGAGATCGTCGTTCTCCTCACGAGCCTTATCTAATCTTTCCGAAAGAGTTTCCGTACTCTTTTGTACCTCGTCCAGCCTCTTTTGCAAGACCTACGAAGATATATATTTGCATTAGATTGAGAAACGTTTTTGATAATGTTAATATAGTAAATTTTTTTTCTTATCCAAAATTTATCTATTATTATTACTAAGTTTAATTCTTAGGGATGTTTTTTTTTGGACAGGTTTAAATTAAATGAACAATCTCTTTATCCGTTGAACGTTTCGTCCCTATTTGGGACTTCCTCAGCAACTTGATAGTTGTGTTCATAAGTCAATATATCATTTTTATTACAGTCATAAGTTTAATTTAATTTAGCATGTGAAGTTCAGGAAATGTCAGAGAATGCAATGCTRTAAATTGTGCATCTTTGCAATTTCTTTGAAAAGTTTCGGTAAATATTTTTTATACTAAAAGTAAATAAATTTTAATAAAACTTATATTAAATTAAAGTACACTCTTTTTTCTACACGTAGAACTTTGTAGAGTTATAAAAATCAA